AACAAACTTCAAATACTTTTAGGATGCTGTGATTTTTTCCAGTTCTGTAGGTTAACATTAACACTAGCAATAACTCATTAAAATTTACCTCGAAAATATGCCAAAATTTATTTGACTTGATTTCATTATCATCCGAAAACCGTTTTCCCCTGATGTTTTTCTTTAAGTTTCGAAACGAATAATAATCACTAAGGGACAAGTCTGGACTGCACGGGGCGTGGTTTGTGCAGGTAAAGCGATTTTCGTCTGCACTAACCCTCGCAAAAAGCCAGGTATTAGGTGGCGCGTTGTCGTCTAAAAAAAGGCCAACTCTTTATTTTGACCCCACGTTTCTTTTCAACCGGAGGACGCAGCTCCTTCGGGGTTCCTGCATACACGGCCCCATTTACTGTAGTATTTACAGCAATAAATTTTATAAGGAGGGGACCTTTGTTATCCTTGAAAGTGGTCATCATCATTTTTTTGTCAGATTTTTGCACTTTTCAATTCACGGGCGGTGGCAACCCCTCGTGCTTCCATTGAGGGAATTATTATTTGGTCACCGGGTCATAATAGTAAACCCAAGCACCATATGCAACTAATAAAATATTGAGCAGGTTCAAGTCTTCATTTAATAGGTTAAAATTGGCATTGCAAAAGTCGACTCGATCCTGTTTTTGAGATGCTGAAAGCAATTTTGGTACCCAACGGGCGGAAACCATTTTCATACCTAAGTCTTCAGTTAACATGGAACAAATTGCTGGTTTTGAAACACCTATCTCATCTGCTAAATAGGACAGTTTCAATCGCGGATCTCTCATTATTTGTTCCTCTAGTTTCCGGAGCCTTTCTGTGGAAGAAACGGATTTTGAGCGTCCTGGCGACTTTTTGCCCGAGACCTCGTTTCGCCATCATTTAAAATTATTGACCCAATTGAATTTTTGTTTTGTGTTGGGCAGTCTTCATCGTAAATTTTAAGGATTCAACCATAAATCTGCGACACGTATTGCCGATCCAGCATTAAAAATTAAATCACACTACGATATTTAATTTGCAAATCTAGCATTTTTTCCGTCGAGGTAAAGTTTGCCGATTTATTGCTAGTGTTTATGTTAACCCACAGAGCTCAAAAAAATCAGAGCCTCCTAAATGTATTTGAAGTTTGTTATTTCATCAAAATTTTGGTCAGAAACAGTGCGGAACATACCTTTTGAAAATTAATAATAAAACACCTACGTACATCATACACCAGGGCGACACTGTCGTTTTAATTATATATAATCGCAATTTCTTCGCATCCTCGTTTGGTGCAATTGGCGTAAAATTAATTAAAAAAAGGGGAATCGCCATAAAAGTAGGTACAAAACAATCGGAAATTTAGCAATTTACAATGATGACAATTTGAAAAAAAAACTTAGGTTCATACATTTGCGTGTATGTTACCGTCTAAGGTCATGTGGGGTGCACGCACCATATTTTCTACTTATTTGAATCTGCTGAAATTTAGATAATATAATGTGGATAATTTCTGCATAACAAACGATAAAAAATAAGTCAATAAAAAAAAGGTACAAAAGTCACTTTCTCCGTTCACCATTTTCTTAATGTGAGTTCATATTCACGCATATATTGGTGACGACATGCAAGCATAATAAAATGGGAAAATAATATAAAAAGGGGACTAGGTAATCAGTTGCAGTTGTGTGAGAGCTGCAATAGATTAGGAGGAAGCAGAGTTTAAGTCAGACGTGACTTCGGCCAGACGTGGTCAACTTAAAGGAAATACGAGAATTGTACACTGTAAATGGTACAGAATGTAAATACACATTGAAATGCACATTGTAAATTGAGAATGAAAAATGCCTAATAAAAATGGGCTTAATTCCTGCAGATGAAATTTTGATTCCGCCTATAAAAGGGAGGCGAGGTTGACCTGGTCGCGCCAGGAAAATCAGAAGGGAACTGGTCGCGACAGTATCTCTTGTCTGATGGGTTTCGTAAAAATTCACAATTGATAAGGAAATTGTGTGTGAGACATTCCTCTCATTATTGCAAATTTACTTGATAATACGCCATAAGCAAAAAAAAGAAGCATTTTCAGCATATTTCTTATCTCATTGTCGTTGTTAAGATTTTCATGAAAAACTTGTCTACTTAAAAAGACTGAGTTTTCACTTATACGCGATTAGTAACCGAAAATGGATCAGTATCATAAGTATTCTTCGGTCAAAAGAATACTTTGGATAAAGGTCAATGTTTTATTCAGAAGGGCTGACCACCTTACTGCATACAAACAAAATCAAAATCTGCACCACTTTACATTACTCCTTTATATTATAAGAAAACGGGTTTGACAAAAGTATTGCAAAATCCCGACTCAATACTTATCACTTCAAGCAAGGTGTATTATGATGGTTCCAGAAAAGGGACACGTGTCTTGCTGTTGCCTTAATAACTAATTACATACATACTTATTTATCACAATTCATGAAAACTATGTCCTTTTATACCCCTATTGATAGTCTATGTTATATGCGGGAAATGTCTGTCGGCAACGGAAGTGAAAGCAAATGTTCCGCAACGGAAGTGAAAGTGGAGAAAGTGATTTGCATATCAACTGCGTTGGAAAGTTGATAAGTCAGTTATCTCCTTATACATCAACTTCCATCATCTTCATCAACTCATTGGTATTATATGAGATGAAAGTGATGATCATCACTTTCACGTTCGTTGCGAATTCCTTGGATTTCCTCGGCGACAAAGGATTTCAGCTTACAATACAACTAAAATATTTAATCGGTTGGAGTTATCAACAATTCCATCCAATTTATGTGAAAGTCAAATCAGCCCTCGCCCGGCGGGAGACGGGCTTATACGCTAGTTAAGAATATTATGATCACCTCCATTTTGTAAACTTTGTAAATTTTCGTAAATTTGGTAACAGCGTAAACCGAGTAAATGGAGTTTTTTATGTAACAAGTACCTATCATCAAATTGTATAAAAATGCACAATGGATGGATAAGCTCACTAGTAATTTTTGGTTCAATTTTTGCCAAGAATTTTTTAAAAATAAGTTGTCAAGAAAAATAAAGGTCTCTTGGTCATTTCATGGAACATATGTACAGAAAGGTGGAACTGAATTTGGTTAGGTTAGGTTCAGTTCACATTATAAAGTTACCAAATAACTTCAGAATCAAATTACTTAAATATTGGAACTAATGCTGGCTTATAATTATCCCACTATTATTTTAAGTGAACAGGTTTTGAATTTTAAAAACAAATATTTCTACTTACAAGGATTTTATTATTTCCATCTAAATTTTCGCTAGTTTCTTCACAATGGGCGGACTCACGTCACTTACATCGTACACGCAAAATATTTTTATAAATTAAAAGTACTTATGAATTGGATACGAAAGAAAGACTAAAACTTGAAAATTTGGAAGGAATCCATTTCGTTGTGAAGGCATCCCAGGTGTAACGTAATGTGCTGATCGATCGATTATTGATTAATTGCATAATTTTGGGTCTCCGACTCGTTAATCGGTCAAATTAATCGCTTCAAAATAGCTCAATTATCGTTAATTCAATTAATAATTAATTCAATTATTATTTATCATATAATTTGCGATAGAATAAAAAAAATAATAATTTGGCTGTTTTATTGTTTGACAACGAGTGGTACATAATTTCTGTGAAATTTTACCAGATACGGTTCCGAGCTACCTGCAGGGACAAATTTACTAACTTTTTGCCCAAATTTTATATCAACTTTATCATGTCAATTATGCGTTTGAATTCAGATGCGTTTTAATTATCAGTGAAATACGGCGTCTTATAGGTAAAATTATTAGGTGTAACCAGAATTACCTTGGGGGAAGATGACCTAAGACATCTTTTTAGAGTGTTGCACAGGGTTCTACGGTTCATAAAATGTGTCAGGTATAAAAATGGTAAAATTATTGTAATATGTGGATTTAATTAACTCGTGCAAAGTCTCATAAGACTCTAAATTAACATCGACTTCAATTCTTAATTGTCAATTGGAATTGTTAATTTTATTCTATTTTCAGTTGTTCTGGTATCCTATAGAGCAAGACGATACCCTGCGATATCATCGTTTTTATTTACGAAAATTAATGTTCTCTTTTAAATTTCAGTTTCTCTGCTTTGCCGCTTTTAAATATTGGTAGAAATTGGTTACGGGATAAGTTATCTTATTTATAAATTTATCATTTCGGCATGTGAATTTCCGAATTTGGTTTTAATCATTGTTGTTCAATTTTACAGCATATTCTCTTCTCTCTCCACTCGCTCAATCTCTCTCTCTCTCTCCAGAAAAATAATAATAATTATAATTCACACAGGATTAAATTGTATCAAATCATATCAATTTGTCCATGTTATATTTTTAAATTGTGATAATGAATGTCTGGAGTATTTGAAATTTTATAAACAATGCACATGGTTACGATTTAGTTTACTTATAACTATTATTACCTTGCTATTCTCTAATTTTAATTCTGAATGTATTTCTTTAAAATTGGTTGCATTTAGCAGTTTTTAGTTGTATAATTTAGTTGCAAATAACTTGCAGTTTGTAACAATATCACTCCAAAAAGGAAGCATGTACCATACTGTGAATTGTATCTCGTATAAAATATCAATTTTATTTTAATTTACGAACTTTGATTAAATTCCCTAAGTATTTAATTCGTTATAATTTTACACAATTGAAAAATTTGAAAAAATTTGAAATAGTTTTCTCTTTTATCATCTATCCTGAGCAAATGGGATTTTAATGTGTTATCAATTTCGGTACCTTATAGAATTGGGCACCTTTTTCATTATGATTTATTTTATACTAAATACCAAAGGGAGGGCGGCCTGGTGGATACGAATTTGACCTTGAATAACCCCGGAACGGTTTGTCGTAGCGGGTCAAAATTTTGAACAGACGAGCATGTTATCCTCAGATAGTTGTGTGCAAAATTTCAGCCCTCTACTTTGAAAAATGCCTGCCCCACAGCCCCCAGAAGCTGAGATAGTCATTTCAAATAGTTCCAGAAAAAATCTGGCTCGTGCTTACAAACAATTTTATTTAAATTTTCTGTTGAGGAATAGGAGTGAGTTATTTGTCACATTTGACGAAGCACTATTTTCTCTACAAGTTACTAATTGAGCTCGAAGAGCTTACTACACGACAAATGCCGAAAAAAAATTCACGAAATTTGGTGTTTTCCCGTGAGGAGAACTTTTGTAAACAGTTTTAAGTTGTGGGTGCAATGTCCGATCGTGGTGTCCTCCCACGTATCAAAGTCCCCCAAAAAGTGAAGAAATCTGCAAAGCAATATGCTGACCGTGTCTCGAAACCACTTTTAGAGTAACATTTTCCTAAATAGCACGGTAAAAAAATAAATAAGGTAATTTTTATCGTGACGCAGCGTCTTCACAGACGATAAAGTTGACCCAAGATTATGCAAATGACCTTGAAGCTAGATTAGGAATAAAAATCATTTCGAATAGTGAAATACCTATACAATCCCCTGATATAAGTCAAATAGACTTCTTTGGGTTCGGATACTTAAAAAGAAATTCTTTCTGCGGAGACCGAATTTTTTAGACGGAGTTTGGAAAAAATTGAAATGAGTGTCTCAACTTCTGGGGGCTGTACGGGAGGCATTTTTGAAAGTAGAGGGCTGAAATTTTACACACAACTATCTGAGGATAACATGCTCGCCTGTTCAAAATTTTGACCCGCTACGACAAACCGTTCCGGGGTTATTCAAGGCCAAATTCGTATCCACCAGGCTGCCCTCCCTTTAGTAAGGAGTAAATTTCCCTGCACCAGAATTCGCGTCGTGCTGCCCTACGCATCATTGCAACGACTGATCCCGAATTTTGGAAGACATGAATCACATCGCGAACTTTTAAACGGTCCAATTCGTGAGAGTTTAAACGTGTTTGTCTTCTCGTCAGTATTCGTCAAAGTTGGGGGAGAAGGTGCGGAGATGTAAAAGAAATTATCAAACCTGTTATTATTACAATGATTATTACAATAATTCGACCCTTACGTATTCGACTATTTTAAATAGCTTACCTAATTCGGTTTGGAAAATTGTCTTCCGGTTAAACTTGCAATGTCTATTTTCACTAGGGAATCCTGTACTTTATCCGTTACCAAGTTATGTTGAAACAATAATCTATTTCATATTTTTATCTGACATGTTATACACTCTAAATAAAAATGAGTAAAATTTACTCAAGGTTGGGTAAAAAAGGGGATGACACAACTAAAAGGTAAAATTTACACAACATTGGGTAAATTTTACACAACTTTGGATAAATTTTGCACAACGTTGGACAAATTTTACCCTCTAGTTGTGTCATCCTCTTTTTTACCCAACCTTGGGTAAATTTTACTCATTTTTATTTAGAGTGTACACACATATATGGTACCTATATGACTACGATTCTCGGTACCCTCCGTTAAGTTTACGAAATAATTGCAATCTTTTCCTCATTCTGTATTAGCTTCAAGTATACACACGGATCTACGCGTCGTGACTCTCATATCTTCATTTAAAGTCGGGGGAGATAAATCCAAAATTGCAAAATCTTTTCATTGTACCGATAATATGACCATTATGTATTCAATTACCTATTCCAATTAGGTTTCCCAAATGAAGATAAATATGCAGTAATTTAATATCAATTATCTGAATATGTACTCCGACAACTTGTAATTTAAATAGTCATAAACCGTTACAACGCATGTAACCAAGGGGTGAAAGGAGTGTCATACGTCAATGTGAATATCAAATTGTTCGAAAATTTGTTAAGATTGACACTTCTGACGTGTTTTCGACTTTTGTGTCTTATTTGTGTCAAATTTAACAGTTGATAACCCTTATGTGACCTTTATATGACCTCTGAGGTCAAAATGGAGGTCACCATTGAATTCGGGGTTAAATTTCAGTTGAAATTGAAATAGATATGTCCTATGACCTTTACAAGACCTCTGAGGTCAAAATGGAGGTCACCATTGAATTTGACATTGAAAAATAGTTAAAAATGATGTTTCACATGCCAAAACTGACAAGTGACACTTTTTCGTCACTTTTCGTCACCGTGACGATGTCATCGTCACAGGTGACGTCCAACCGCAAAATGACATGAATTTTCGAATTCCTCATTGAAAAATAGTTAAAAATGATGTGTCACATGCCAAAACTGACAAGTGACACTTTTTCGTCACTTTTCGTCACTGTGACGATGTCATCGTCACAGGTGACGTCCAACCGCAAAATGACATGAATTTTCGAATTCCTCATTGAAAAATAGTTAAAAATGATGTGTCACATGCCAAAACTGACAAGTGACACTTTTTCGTCACTTTTCGTCACCGTGACGATGTCATCGTTACAGGTGACGTCCAAACACAAAATGACATGAATTTTCGAATTCCTCATTGAAAAATAGTTAAAAATGATGTGTCACATGTCAAAACTGATAAGTGACACTTTTTCGTCACTTTTCGTCACTGGGACGACGTCATCGTCACAGGTGACGATGTCACAGTGTCCATCTTCGAACTCGTCCTGTCCCTTGACGTTAGGAGTTTACGTTCAAAATTTCAAGTGTCTATGTCTTTTCGTTCAAAAGTTATCGGAGCTACGGACAGACAGACGGACGGACGGACGGACGGACGGACGGACAGACAGACGGACGGACGGACGGACAGACGGACGGACGGACAGACAGACGGACGGACGGACGGACAGACAGACGGACATAACGATCTTATAAAGGGCTTTCTTTAAAGTGTTAATTCTTTAGCTCCCTCTAAGTAAAGTATTCGACCAATTTTATTGTCATGACGCCTGTGATATTTCTATTCATCTTCTCCTCTGCTGGAATAATTAAATGTAAGTTTTAACGGGTTATACTATGGTTCATCAATTAAAAATGCGTTATGTTCGCTATAAGGTTAAGATGAAAACAATGACGCGTTTTTAATAGTTAAACCATAGTTGCGTTTCAAATTAAATAAACTTCACATCATTTCTTACAAATTTATAGGCGACCTGATCAATCCGTTGTCCCCAGTTTCATCCATTTTGAAGGTCCCAGCGGTAATCGAGGAGTTGGAAAATGTCTCTACATTTTCAAACACCATACCTTTTTTGATAACGCTGAATCTGGCCAACTTGACAGAAATGTCAGGTCAATCTCTGTCCAATTGCACCAGCAAAAATCCTTCCTGTCATGTGCACATTTTCCTACAAAATTTAATTCTCCAAATACAACATGAATTGGATGACACAACAGCCTTTGATACCAATGATATCAATCACAATATTCGGTAAGTCTCATCAGCACTCGACATTACTTGATTTATTTCTATTTTACTTAAAGTAATCACAAATGAGAAACTGCTACATGTGAAGGACATGCATTGTGGGCGATTATCTATTTCTTACGCGATAAATATCTCATTTTTTCTGCGTTATTTCTTTACATAAATCAATGGTTTGTAAAACTACAACCCCTTCAGTCGCAGCTTTTTCAACAATGGGCGATAAAATCGGACGACTGGAACGATTATTTAACTAATTTTATTTTAGACTTCCAGGATGATGACATCCTAGTAGGATCAACTTCTACCACAATTAATTCATTCTGGCTCAACTCGACTAAACCAGATATATCGACGGCTGGTTACTACTTCACCTACTACTTCACAAAACTGATGTCAGTCTTATCTGATTGCAGGTGAGTCGTCTCCTAGTATATTATCATGTGTATTATTAATAACTCCTAAGATATTACCAATAACGCAAAATTTCATTTTTTTAAGAAACCAATTAGTTCCTATGGCAATTTATTCAAACCCACAAATCATATCGAAGCTACGCGAAACAAGTGATTTGCTTCTCGAGCATGGCTACAAAATCTCCATCCCTTGGGATGGTGTGTTCAAGTTGAAAATAGCGTCCTGTGTAAAACTGGAAAACAGCATTGAAGTTTTGATAAAACTTCCAATCAAGAGAATTAACCAAGAATTTCAATTTGTAGCCGTCACTCCCATTCCTTATCTGACAAATGGAATGCGTTGCGTTCTTGTGCTTCCTTCTACTCATCTGTTGATGTCCAGTAACAGAGCAGTGCCTCTTCCATCACTCAGTGAACGATTGTGCACAACGACAAAAGGTAAAACTTCCTTAATTAAAATACATTTTTTCCAATCAATAACGTGCTACTTTATCACGCAGAGTTTTGTATAATACCCATGGAGGAGCATGTAGGAAGCATCGACGTGTGCACTATGGGAATTCTTGCAGGAGATTATGAAATAATTCAACAGGTAAACCTGATTTACAATTCTGTGCTTACATTTATTGCGTAACTTCAGGCTACTTGAAGTACATGACTTCAGGCTACTTCACCTATGTGAAAATTTTGTCCGTCTTTCTGCCTCTTTCTAAAGGGTAATTGGTGGCCGATTTCGACTTAATCGAAATCAGTGGCCTGAATGTCAAAGACCTCAGGGTGAGGATACTATCAATTTTTAGGGGCCAATTAGACCCCCCACACTGCGTCCCACCCCCAGGAGATGTGGTCAGGGCAGAATAAGATTTTTACTGAAAATGAATCCAGTAAAATCTACGGTAGGATGAAATGAATTTTTTAAGCAAGGAGGAGAAAATTAAACTTTCCAAATTATTCCCTGAATCCACTTCCTATGTGCGTTTGCTGTGGTTTATTTATTTCACTTGTTTATGGTACAGGAATGCCAGGTCAAATGCGCAGAATCAAACGAAGTAGTTTACAGCAGCACAGGCATTGGTCAATTTTCAATCACAGGTGGAAGCAAATTTACTTTCACCTGCCATGAACAGATCATGGACTACAGCGTGCAACGATCAGGATCGGTGATGATAATCCAGGTACAAATTATATGACGCATTATACATATAACACTAATAGAACCTCGTTTATGCATAGCCGTGCAATTGCAGCCTAAGGGTGGACGAGGGAGAAATAGTCAATCCTCCATACCCTTGTCCTAAATTGAACCAGTTATTACTGCCAAATATAACCCACTATGAGATTCATCTTCCTATTTCCAACATAATTGAAACACAGCGTCGAAGGAATTTATCGGATACAAATATTGTATACACCTGGCTTACAATTATCTCCATCATCTTAACCTATTATATATACACACGTAATCGGCACAGAGGCTTTTTACCTGTCAGTCCTGTGCACCTTCTATTCCTGGTCACGTTAGTCTCAGCGACCTCTGAAGTAGAGAAGGGTACATCTGATATCATACTCGATAGTATATTATCACTTTTCCGAAATATTAGCTTTTCAGACTCCATAGTGTTCGTTGCAGCACTATCTGTTGGGTCCTTCATATTCTATTTTGGAGCAAAAATATATTCTGTGCGTTCAGTACTAATCATGTCCACAGTCGGAACATACAAATTCATTCGTGGAACTTTGACATTCTGTCGCCGAAAAAAAATAAGTACTAGACAAACCGAGATGGCAGAAATGGAACCGTCGTGCAAAACTGCATTAAACATAAAGTACACAACTTTAGATGACAATACTGTGTGAAGTTGTAATATTTTGAATATATATAAATACTTTGAATCTATATAAATATTTCGAATCTGTATAAATAATTTGAATCTATGTCAAATGTTAAACAATGTAAAATAAAGCTATTATCATGTTTATAGAGAATGAATTGTAAAGTGTTCCACGGGGGTCGAGTTTCCCTTCGGGAAAGGAGTGGCAACCGAAATATAAACGTGTCCGTCCATCCCGTATGCAGCTCGGGCTTATGGGTAGCCTGCAAGTTTAAAACACATGAAGAAGATTCAGTTATATATTTACATAACTTTGAGAAATTATGAAAGATTTGTAATGCACAATTAAAAAATTTGACTCTTTGTCAAGGTTGGACATCATCCATAACTTTGGCCGAAATAATGGATACATATATACATATGTACAAATTCTAAATTTACATTCAGAGCATTATTTTATAATTTTTGTGTTAACCGAAGAAATTAAAAAGGTTACTGGTGATTAAGTTTTTGCATTAAAGTTGCCACCGTTTTGTACATATTAGAATTGTATCGGTAGGTGCAAATTTGCTAATTTTTTTGCACAGGTACAACTAAATTTTTCATATATCCGGATATACCTATGTAAGATTTAATAAGGAGCTATTACACTACAACAACACCATATGTACATATGTATTTACGCATGTCGTTATCAACCCCATTCATGGTAGAGTGAGCACATACTGAAGTACATATTTATGTATGAATACGTAAATATGTAGGATTGCATAATTACGCGAAGATGTACACATTTGCCTGAATTTCTGCAAAAGAATCCCACCCATCATACGAGTATCTGATCCAGACGGATTTGTGGAACGAGACGTTGACAATTTTGACCTCTCCCATCAGCACGGTCACTGAATCCTCCACAGATCTAGGAAATTTTGAACATTTAGCATTATATTGCAACGATTAAGAATGGTTTTAAAAAACGTTTATTTTTTGTCCCGAGGCTTAGCTAACACTATTTTTTACTGACGCTTGGCACGATTCGAGCAGAACTTTTTGCTCGGACAGACGGACCACAAAGTTGGCGAGGGTGCCCGGCTGAGACAACGTGGGAAGGAGGACGTCACACCGTTTCGGGGACTGTTTGACTTCAATAAGAGATGGCTGAAAGGAGGAGAAATATAGATTTATAAAGTATATATTACGATCATTCACGACAACTTTGTAATCTAATAATTTTGGTAAAATTACGACTACAAAGTGATATATAATAATAATAATAATAATAATAATAATAATAATAATATTTATTCAATGAATAATTCTTACAAGGCTCATGGCCCATAGAATTACAAGTTAATTCTCAGCATGATTTAACAATATAACAGGTTACATTGTATCAACTACAAATTCCAAACGAACAATTTACGACATAACATCATAACAGCAGTATAACGAGTTGCATTTTATGAATTGCAAATTTCCAACTACTCATGTAAAGATCGAAGCATTATGACAGAAAATTGATTCATCATGTAACTTCAAACTTGGTACTGGTAAAAGGCTCTACTTTTGCAGCGTAATATTACCAACCTCTTTATAGCAAATAACTTTTTCGAGCCGCCGTACCTGTTCTAAATTAACATGCTAAGCAACAACAAAATTCTGTGACACGGTGTTCCAATCTGCTTCAAGTCTGACCAAAGTTCTATATAACGACGTGACAAAATAACATATCACTACAATAACAGTATACAGTTACAAGATCTTAATATGTTATAACATTACAACGTAATATATATAACGTAACCGGAGACGTGTGCTTTAATAATAACCAATGCGAAGTTCCTCAGCGATGGGACGTGGTGGTGCTAGGTTGCTCATAATGTCAAGTGTAATCGCTCTTTGCAAAAATACATCTCAAGTAAGTTAGGTATACAATTGAGGGCGTAAGTCCAGGCGGTGTCAGCACATTCCAGACATGGCGAGAGCAGAATCCCAATATAGTGACGACAGCAAGAATGTTCCACCCCCAGCTCCCTGCAGCAATTATGAATGCCAGGTTCCATGGGTGCGACCAGGCGTCCCCAGAGACCCGATGGTTCCCAGCGGGTGACCCTTTGGGCGTCCCCTCAAGGTCGACGAGATGTGGTAGGCAGGGCGTCCCCATCCCCACCACACCCAAAAAATCCTCAGCAGTTTTGCAGGACGGCAGCCAGGGAAGATTTAAGTGACACGACGTATTTGTATTACACATTTTTCACAATACAATAAATTCCATTACAAATACAAACTACGTATGTACATACTCAACTTGAGATGGGATAAATTTCTCACCAGCTTAAATGTAATATTTCGAGTCCAAATTTTGATACAATGATTAAAACAAACCGGTTGAAACGTTCAGATATCACAAACAGTAATTTCTTAATACGTAATTGATAAGACAAAATTATCAGTTTCAAGTAATTGATTATTTCGTAATTAATTAAATACGCCCACTTATGAGTGTAGTCTAAGAGAGTCTCGGAGAGAGCAACCTCACACCACCACGTCTCGCACACGTCTCTACAAAGTGCTAGAAGTGCGTATATACCTGATAAACACGTTTTTGTCGTTGAGACATACATATTTGCTGGGAAATATTTTATGAAATTTAATATTGAGGCGGTTCTAGAGATGTGCATAGGGCAGGGTATACCCTAAAAAAACCCTACCCTGCCCTACCCTATAGGGCTTTGGGCGGGCGGGCTTTTATTACCCTGAATTTTTAAGGGTAGGGTAGGGTAGGGCTTTTTAAATTAGGGTATAGGGCCGGGCGGGCTTTTTTGCATGTACACCAATATGCTGTAGGGCAGGGTAGGGCTTTTTTGCTTTACTATAACGCAGTCAACCATCGAGCAGGCCATTAGAAATGAGACGCGGGACAATCTTTCTTCTGTATTAATTCACTTGTGTTACAAGTACTTAAAATTGATTATACTATGGAGATTGACTACTCCATGTTGACATTTGTTACTGGTGTGGCGACACAAAATTTGGAAAGTTGCAAAAAGACTGTCAAAATTTCTTGCGTCACATTCCATAGATATAAGAATTGTGCTTTAAATGATTTACATAAACAATTATGAATAGTGCCGGGGCCCGAAGCCCTATAGGGTAGGGTAGGGTTTTTATTGATTAAGAAAATCTAGGGTAGGGCTAGGGCGGGCTTTATTTTTCCAGGGTAGGGCAGGGCCGGGTTTCAATTTTACCCTACCCTATAGGGTAGGGTAGGACAGGGCTGGGCGAAGTAGGGTATAGGGTAGGGCGGGTAATGAAAAATGCCTGCCCTGCACATCTCTAGGCGGTTCACGCAGTCTTTCGTAACTTTGTACATAAAATCCGTTACTTTTGCAAAATAATTTTACGTCTGACAAAATAGAGATGGCCTTGGCTTACAGAATTTATAATTTTCCTTTCAAATATTTGTAAAAGTTGTAAGTTTAGGGATGTTACAAGTTTCTAAATAAGGAAATGAATAAGAGTCATATCACTCCAAGATCCTTGTCCTTTATAAATTGGAACTGCTAAGCAAATTTGTGGAAATTATTTCAATTTTTTGCAAACTTGTGTCGCAAAATTTTCTAAATTACAAAGTTGGCTTGCCCTCCCTTCCCTGCAATAATTATTACTTGAACGCACTCTCTGGCACGTTGGAGACTTTGTGGTGATAACAAGTTTGACACTGGTCAACTGCAGGCCCAGCGTGTCGACAAATCGAATAAATTTTGCGTCCCTTTTGCTTTCCTCCTCTTCGGCGTCACTCTAGTCACGTGATCATTTTCGGACGAGCGGAATTGGCGACGAAGAATGTCGACATCGCCCAAGTCCTGTGTCGACACACGGTGGCAATCCTGGAGTCCCATTGTAAGTCGAAGTATTCTCAGAATTATAACTTTCTTGGTTTCCAGCCATGCTAAAAATGAAAATGAAATTATACGAATTTTATCACAGTGGTTTTTGCAGCCCGGTAAATGTGTCGGCAAGAAGGAGACTTATTGCGACAGTTCACACAGACATTGGCAAACTTGCAAAATTCATGCATACGTTTTGAAGAATAATTCTGCAACCTAAGTACAAAATAAGGAGACGCCCTTGAACTGAACAAGTTTGCAAAAATTTCGATTAAAAATGTTAGAAAAATTTCGTTTAAATTTGAATTGAATTAAATTGAATTGAATTTGAATTTAAGTTTGAATGTTTACAGAATTTACACAGTTTACATACTCAAGCCTGCACAATTTAAAGGGATTATTGATTGGGATTAAGATAAAAAAGATCACTGATACTTTTTTAAGCCTGGGAACTAAACGTGATATGTAAGCCGCTCATAATGTTTTTTGTCAATGATAGTAACACAAAATTTTGACTTGGGGAAGGTTTAAATTTTCTTAAACAAATTTCCAGAACATTTACTTTTATGAGAAAATTGTAAGTTGAGACACTAAAAGTATGTATATGTTAGTGAGGAGAGTTTGCTTACATAGTTTTCTCACAGTGAAACCCGGCATGATGACCGAGTTGGGTTTGTATACTCAAGCGAGAGACTGAATGAGACATGAGACGGCGGAGTTGAGCGTAAGATTTATACGTAGAAAGTTGAGACGCTTGTGGAAAGTAGTTTAGTACTTACATAAGTAGCAGCGTAAACTTTGCCTGCCTGTGAAAGATATGAGTATAGTTTGGATTGAAGACGTACATACGTAGATAAACTAGGGCTAATAACAACTTCTCGTTCAGCCATGTGCCTCCAAACCTCGTGCTCTTGTCGTACATACGAACTTACGTTTCATAATAATCTTGTGACAACTATGTATGAATTTCTCACGAGATGATTGTATTTACGTATGCATGTTATGGCGAGCAATGAGACAGAAAGATAATTGCACTGATTAAAACTAAACACTATTGAGGTATTGAACACATTTTTGTAATTGGGATGCATAGCACGTGCGTAACATTGTTCCGTCATTTGTTATTACATCTGTATACATGCATTTGTATTGAATGTAGAAAACATGTACACATGTAACGGGCACGTTTGTTCCCTACTGACTTGGATCTTGACTTAATGTAAAACTTGATTTCAAAATTTGATAAATGAGTTACATAATAACATTCCTGTTCAAAAAAACTTGTTTCATTTAAAGTTCAGTCATCCCGATTGCTGACTGAAGATTTTCATTCACACACATTCAGTCCTTTTCTTTCAAGCTCATTCCATTTCACTTCACTTCTTCGGACTTCATTTCCTACTTTCCTAGCCCCATGAGTTATCTGTGGAATAGGGTGAAAAATTAAGGGAATGAGAAATCTTTTCATTGACAGTCACTCCTGACTCTTTCACTCATTTTCATTCCCTATCATTCTCTATTCTCATGGAGTGGCGGAGACGGGGTGGGAAGCCGAGGCCAAAACCAGCAGCTGGGCAGCAGCAGCAAGGCCTCCTCGCACCTTCCGGGTCAGTAGCTAAGGGCGGAAACGGCCCTTAGCCGGATACGTTCATACAGACGCACAAAACACCGATGCACCGGTACACCACTCACCATGCTATCTATTTTGATTATTTCAGTGCTTCTGGCCGTTTTTGGGCTGAGTTGGGAATATTTGTGGTGGCTTGAGCAACATTTAACGTAAGACACTGTTGGGGTAAGGTGAGACACTTTTGGGGTAATGCGAGACACATTTTGGGGTAAGGTGAGACACATTTGGGGTAACGTGGGACACTTTTGGGGTAATGCGAGACACATTTGGAGTAAGGTGAGACACTTTTGGGGTAACGTGAGACACTTTTGGGGTAATGCGAGACACATTTGGGGTAAGGTGAGACACATTTGGGGTAATGCGAGACACATTTGGGGTAAGGTCAGAAACATTTAGGGTACGTGAGACACATTTGGGGCAATGTGAGACACATTTGGGGTAAGGTGGGACACTTTTGGGGTAAGGTGAGAAACTTTTGGGGTGACGTGAGACACTTTTGGGGTAAGGTGAGATACTTTTGGGGTAAGGTGGGACACTTTTGGGGTAAGGTGAGAAACTTTTGGGGTGACGTGAGACACTTTTGGGGTAAGGTGAGATACTTTTGGGGTAAGGTGGGACACTTTTGGGGTAAGGTGAGAAACTTTTGGGGTGACGTGAGACACTTTTGGGGTAAGGTGAGATACTTTTGGGGTAAGGTGGGACACTTTTGGGGTGACGTGAGACACTTTTGGGGTAAGGTGGGAAACTTTTGGGGTGACGTGAGACACATTTGGGGTAACTTGAGACACATTTGGGGTAATGCGAGATGGAGGTATACCACTCCCCCCACCCCCCAAGGGGGTGGGGCACTTAAAACATTGGTATTCTGATATCTGATATCTGATAACTGCTCGAGGGTGACAACCGACCCGGCTGCACTGATATCTGACAAACGACGGGACTGATACTGACAACCGATAACACATGTCGCACTTTCACCCTTCTTGGCACGAGTTTGATTCCACCTGCTCAGTCAAATTTTGTATCCACATTTTCTCCTCCGGTTTTAATTAAACTTGATTAATCACTTGGGGGGCATTTACATTAAGTAATAAATAATTGTAAGTTTTGCAAACAATGAAGACACTCGAGCTACATAATCCCTTGAATCCGACATAATTCGTTGAATTATGCAATTAATTTTTAGTAAAAAGTAGGGATAAATTATCCCGGATAATTTATTTATTTATTTTTAAAGAACTTGGATTTTAAATGAAAAAATTAAATTAAATGAAAAATGGCTAGTGTAGACAAATATCTATTTTTTAACTTAAAGCAGTCTACTCGACTAAATATGACTGAACACTTGCATAAAGGTGAATTGAAATTGAATCCAGTTGTTAAAGATTAATAATAATTTGTAAGTTTGAAGTTATTGATGACAAGGTTTGCTAAATTAATTACGCTATTTGGTAAACAAGTTAAATTGTTTGTCAAACAATTTTTATGCGCTGCAAACTGTGTGGTGCATAATTTTTACGATTTTCACAATTTTTTTGTTTGGCCGGGCTGGTAAATAGTTTTTTGAGAAATGTTTTTGAATTTTGCAGATACCGAAAAGACGATGGAGGAAATTGACGTTAAAATTGAAGCAGACGAGGTCAAAGTTGAGCAGGAAGAAGGTGACGAGCGAGAGCGAGTGATACATAATTTGTAATTATCATTTTCTTCAGGAATAAAAAAAAATATATATTTATCCTTATGCAGAAAGTCCTGGTGGCGACGACGAGGTCAAAGTTGAGCTGGATGACGACGACGACGCAGGTGACGACGTGAACGAGAGTGAATTTTTTTTAGCCCGAGTCAAGGCTTATGTACGGGTCAGGGTTGTCGTTCTGTGTGTGTGTCTAAGGGGCCTTCCATAGATTACGTAGCACAAACATTTTTTTTACCCTCCTCAGTTTTTGCGTTACATAATTTAAGGACGGATAACCTGACTCAGGCTGAAAGCTGCTACACTAGTTGCTTTTATTATCATTTTGTTAAGGAATTTGTTAAAATTATTTGTGCAGAGAGCCACACCACGATTGAAGGTGACGACGAGGTCAAAAGTGAGCAGGACGACGACACGGACCCACGTGACCTAGACGACGACGACCCCGGTGACGTGGACGAGAGCGAAATCTTCTTCAACTATGGCGACTCCTACTCCCCCTCCGCCCTGGAAATGAAAGACCCCTTGCAACAAAGTGGCGACGACGACGAGGAATTTCCCTTTTGCATAACTCCGCACGCCGCAAAGAGAAGAAAAATGCGTCCCACCGAGGAAATTAGGGCGACACGAGAAAGGTAAATATTTCAAATTATAATATTTGCTGTAAAATATTTGCAGGAATATTTTTACACGAGAAAAAAACGTGTATGAGAAAAAATGACGAGACAATTCACACAGGTCTTGGTAGCATTGTAACATGAAATTTTGCAAGCTCAAAAATTTTTTTCGTAAATTTTGCCTTGCAAATTTGCCAGTTTGCGAATACTAAATTCTAGTGTCGGCGTTTTCTTATGCTAAATTTATTTCTTTCTTTTTACAGCCCCCGAAAAACTGGGGACGATTCGTTATTCCGTCCGGAACAACAAATTCCCGCTAAAACTGAAAATCTGCCTTCAGAACTTGGAAACATTACCCCCCACAAATTCAAGTGCACCACGTGTCAAAAATTATTCGCCGGGAAGGAGCGCATGCTCCGCCACGTGGAGCGGGGTCACCCCTTCGCCTGCACGGCGCCCACGTGCTCCTCCACATTTGGGACTGAGGCGGCGAGGAACGTCCACCTGAGGAGCGCCCACCCCGGCCTGGCCGCGTACGAGTGCCCCCTCTGCGCGCGTAAATTTCACGTCGCCCACATGCTCGTGAGGCACATGGTGATTCGCCACGAAACCGGAGAAAAGAAGTTTCCCTGCGACAAGTGCGGCAAGAGTTTCGCGCTCGAAGAGAACTTACAGCGCCACGTGGACCTGCATAATTTCGAAGTGGAAAAACCCCTCGTTTGCTCCGTGTGCGATTCGCGATTCGAGGACGACGGGCGGCTCCTGCGCCATGCCGAGACGCACGTGAAAAAACGTTGCATTTGTACCGAGTGTGGGTCCCGTTTTTCGAATAAGTTGAAGTTAGAGAGGTAAAAAAAAGCGTGAGAATTTTATTTTATACCGACATATTGCTGCGCTTTTGCGCTGAAATTTGCGCATTTTTGCATTTCCTTATGTTTGAGTCGCAAATTTTAATTTTATTTCTTAACGGGTAGTCACACCAGATTTCTACCGTTCGATAACATAGGTGGGATGGGAATATGGTAATCCCACCCATGTTAATTAGTGACGAGGAATTTAGAAAGTGCTTCAAATTTAAATTTTGCACAATTTGGTGACTATTTAGGGGCCGTTCATAAATTATGTAACACGAGAGGGGCTCTGGAAAATCACGATTTTTGCATTCCATAATTTATGAATGACCCCCTTAAGGCATCTTCAACTCGCAGTAACGATATTTTATCTTATTTTATCCTTCAGCCACGTGCGCGTCCGCCACGTAGAGAGAAAATGGGTGAAATGTGACCAATGCCAGAAGTCCTTCATCCGCAAGGCCACCCTGGTCCGACACGTGACCCGCGTCCATGCACCCCAGTCAGAAACCAGCCACCACGTGTGCCACATTTGTGGGAAAAGCTTCCGCCTCATGGACGGCCTCAAGACGCACCTCAGGGCGCACGACGAATCCAAAAAGCTCACGTGCGACACGTGCGGAGAAAAGTTTACGTATCGGACCATACTAAATTCGCACCGGGTCCGGGAGCACGGGGCGGATCCCTTCGTTTGCCATGAGTGGTAAGATACTGTATTTTGCACTCTTAAAAATAACGTAATTTCGAAAAGTAAATTCACTATTACTCAATTTCATATTGAGCATACTCACGTCAACCTTCGTATATCTCGCAAATTGAGCATAGCAACATATGTAACTTGCAAAGTTTTGCGAGATATGCCAGATTTGGCAAAATTTTTGCTGTAAAACCGCTTGATTTTTTTACCAGCAAATTTACCAAGCAAATGGACATGTACTTATTTCGCAAAAGCATCCTCACCATCTCCAGCAACAGAAATTACAGAAATCCATGGAAGCAACATAAAAATAGGTGCTTTTAGTAAATTTGCGAGATTGGCGACATTTGCGAAGTCATATTTTACGAATCCCCTCACGAAACAAATATTTCGACCTTCGCAAGTTTGCTAAATGAGTTGCGATGCGAAATAAGACGTTGTCGTGAGTACGCCCAATAAGTATTTAAACTAAAGCCTTTAGTTTAAATCAACACCATTTAGTCTACAGGGTGTGGATTTAATTCGTCCGGTCTATATTTGATAACTTGTAACTCGGGGGGAATTTTTGTATAAGAGATAAATTGCTAATTAATCTTGCGGGAATTTATGTTAATCATACCATCAACTCACTTTTTATGTACGTAACATTTTTATAAATTTTAATAATAAACATTCGGACGAATTTATTCACAACCCTTTATATTCAATTCAAAGTATGTAAAGGTACAATACAAAATCGCTATTTTTTAATTTATGAAGAGTAAAGTTTACTTAATGTAAAATGTGTCAGACTACATTTACTTTTCTAAGGACAAATGGTACCCATATTTTTAAGAGTGATACATCAATTTTAGTAGCAAAAGTGAAGTAAATTTGTGATATTTGATTTATTTAGTGGGACAACTTTCTCCAGTCGACATGGATTCAGGCGTCACCTGATGGCCCACCGTGGCGAGAAACCCCACAAATGTGATGTAAGTGGCAAGTATGTAATATAAAGGGTGCTGATTTAATTCGTCCCAAAGGTTTTTTGAGAACCCGACATAAATTTAGGAAAATTAGCACAAAGGAACAAGCAAAGATTATGTATAGTAAATAAAAGGCATGATTTGTATAAATTTCCGACATTCGCAAGTTTATAAAGGGTGTTGATTTAATTCGTCCCAAAGGTTTTTTCAGAACCCGACACAAATTTAGGAAAATTAGTCAAGGACAAGAGTAAAGGGCATGATTAACATACATTTCTGAAAGACTAATTAGCAATGTATTTATCCCTGCTGATAAAATTGTCCTCCAAGTTTTCCCCTCTTTTGAGGTGCAAGTTTTTTTTCAAAACCGGAGAAATCGGGACGAATTAAATCAACACCCTTTATCATTTGCTTTTGCAGATGTGCGATGCCCGCTTTCTGACCACAACTATACTGCAAAATCACCGCACGACGCACACGGGAGAGCGCCCCTTCCCCTGCCCCCACTGCGAGAGTGCCTTCAAAGTCAAGAAGCATTTGACCAACCACGTCAACAAGCTGCACACGCCGGGCTACGTGACCCGGCTCAACTTCCGGTGTGCCCAGTGTGAAAAAGGGTACCCTTCCAACGTCGAGCTGCAGGCGCACGTGCGTCAAGTGCACACGGGGGAGCGCCCCTTCGTCTGCGAGCAGGACGGGTGTGCGAAAGCCTTCGCGCAGAAGAGGTCGCTCGTCCTGCATTTGAGGAATACGCATAAAATAGGCGACCGGAAGAGCGGGTTCAAACTACCGAGTCGGAGAAGAGAGGGTGGAAATGAGTAGGATGGGATTTGTTATTGATGATTTTTTTACGGTTTAATGGGTTAACGATGTATCGGAGTATATATTTTTGTAAGAATTTAAGGATACACACATCTGGTTTGTATTGTTTTGATGGAATAAAGTTTTATAAAGAAATATAATAACGTATGAATCTACCGTAAATTCTCTATTTATTGCCTTTTTACTGTTTACGGCCTGGAATCCAAGCCAGCATGTCACAGACCCAGCTATAATTAGGGACCCCATTAAATTTTGTTCCGCCCTAATTTTAGATGTCGTAAATATTTTTTACTCGTTTTGGATTGTCGGCATAATCAGAGACCCGGCTAAAACCAAGCAGAAGAAACGAATATTGTTATTTATTATTTGCAAGCTACATACATGTGGTTTGGCGTTCCAGACATTACGTGACATATATGTAGACATGAGGTAGGGTAAACATTTCAAAAATTATATTTAGCTTATATATTTATATATCCACCGAATGTCCCTCAAAGCTTTTAGAATTTATGGCTGAAGGGAAAACATTAAGAGGCAAGTTTGGTATGTATTTACGTGACAATATTTAATCAGTCACAACATTTTACGACGCACTGTCTACCTACAGCAATCAGTTGATTAGGCTCTGTGGCAGTGGATAAAAGTATGGAGACCTCAGTTTGATTTTGATTTTCCTAAATTTTCATTAAAACTTGGTATTTTGAAAGCTTTAGAATACTCTTTTGTCTAACCCAAATTTAACATTTTTCACAGGCTGGACTAAAAAATAAGCTTCTGGGGCTTCATGAAAGGCACCGAAAATTGTGGCGAAAGGCATAGATGAGAACGCTTTACAAAACATGTCCCCTCCGTCTAAATTATCTTCTGCGGGGCCACTAGCATTAAATATATACGCAGATATAAAAGTTTCGTAAACTCAGGTTTCCCTTACCGAGGGGAAACACATTTTTCTTTCTGGGTATTTGATATATGAATATATGTATGTATATTTATGTAAACCGGGTTACTAAAATAATTTGTTTGCGTGTTTATTGTATTCAACAAAGTCAGACTAATCGATTTCTTAAATAATTTATATAAATTACGTTTTTTCGCCATCACCGAAGTAATACGGAGACGTGTATTATTAGACAGTCTGTCTTAAACTGCCTGAATATTTAGCCGACTTAAAGGACCAGACAAGTTTTTTGTTATTTTACAGCAACACGGTTTCCACAAAATGATTAAGCAAATCTTGATCTTCACTTTCCTTCAAATTACTAGTTTCACCTCGGTGTCCGCACACTTCAATTTTCAACACGTTGATTGCGTAGTCCCTGCAAGGTCCATCATACAAATAATAGGCGACTTCTTCGCCGAACAACAGAAACCCTTTGAAGCTGAATTAGTTTATTTTCTCCTGCAAAACCAAAACTATCTAAAAGTATTAAACCACCTTCCACCAAACCAAAACCTTAAAGATTCCTGTAGAAAAAATTCGTACATCTTTTCCAAGTACATTGGTCACTCTGTTACCAGAATTTCGTTTATTTTTCTATCCCAACTAGAGCCAGAAGCAGGCAAAAAAGATTTCAATCATTTCCGTGAACGCTTAAATTATTGCGGGGAAGATCCAACTTATATATTTCTCGTTATAAGCATTACAAACAACAAAACGTTCAGAATTTCTCCCAAAGCAGCATCAACGTCTAAACTGTTTGTAGTTCATAGTAGGTCGAATGGTAACAATTATTTGCAAATATATGTAGTCTGCCTGCCATGCAGATTCTCTCATTTGCTCGAACTAAGACCATCAGCAATTGATCTTCCTAAGCTACTTGATTACTCCTGGGAAAGGCACAATGCTGACTTGCAGGGTTTACGCGCAGGCACAGGGGGAGCTCGTAAGTTTCATCCGGGAAAAGAGACATGCAGCGCCATTAAACGAGGAGGCAAAGAATTTTCGTGGAATGTAATATGCGCCCAGCTAGTGCTAGGAAGCAAATTTAACTTTACCGATGTCACCGTATACGGACAACGAAATACTATCCCTTTTCATCCGTACAAGTACGATTACAGTTTTGAAATCGAATACACTGCTATCGTTGGTGGGCCAGAAATTGAATGTTGGTTTTTATATCCGGTCTCTGCAAAATATACATGGCTGCAATATTCCGGAGAAAAGTATCAATTTAAAATGGCAAGTGTATCTTATAGTAAACCTAACTTTGAAGGGCTGATAGCTATGGTCATGGCGCTCGACCAGTATACGTGGACGGCATCAGGGGTATCTTTCACACTTGTCGCGATCCTTCTGACACTAGGTGCGTTAAAAGACTGCGTATCAGTTACGCATCGCAAGGCAATGGCCTACTTCACCCAAATATGGCAGTGGATTTTGGCCTCTCTGTCGGGACAGTGCCATGGAACTCCTGGTATTTTGCGACTAACACCACATTTGTCACTATTCGTTGTCACATGTGTGTTGTCGTTCTTTCTGCTTGGGAGTGTATTTTATCAAAGCTCCTTATATTCCAAACTTGTCGCCGTTACCCCACCCAGGCTGCCGTCAACTTTTGAATCGGTTCTCGCATCGAAGATTCAAATTATTACTACCACCAGAATTTACCACGGAAGTGCAACCCCAAAAAGTTTATTAAAGTTCTCGTTACTTAAACCTATAATTAAGACCAGTTTGAAGCCAAAGTTAATTGGCACGGAGACCCTTCTTCAAGATAGGGTACACTTCGTACGTTCCACATCAGATTTTATCGTTGGTGTGAATATTTCAGAAGAGTGGGATGTAAATTTGCAGGGTAACAGTTTTCAGCGAGTCATGGATACAAGTGCAATTATAAATTCGGAATACGATTTAGACGAAATGTTAGCAGGAGTTGAGACCAAGAGGGTTTCGTACATCGTCAGACATACAGAGCCTACGAAATTTTTTATTCACAAACCAATATTCATAACTCGCGGCTTTATGAATTCCTTCTTGTCCAAAAGTATTGGTCACTTAGTTCAATCAGGTTTATATAAATTGTGGGAATACTTAGACTACACAAGAAAATTTATGAAAGATATCAAAGGTCAAACATCTACGGAACTTTATCGAAAAGTGTTTGTAAAGAAATTTTTTGGAGTTAAGAAATAAATTTTTTTTGACGAAGGAAAACAAGTCTCGTTGTCTACACTCGAAGGGGTATTAGGGTTCTGTGCAGTTGTATTAAGTATCGCATTGGTGGCTTTCGTTCGGGAATTGGTGACCTATGAAATGTTGAGGCAAGTGGGCTGGAAATTTAGGCGACCTGTGTGTAAGATGGTAGCAATGATAAAACTAATGAAATTTAGTAGATGCTGACATTTTTATTTTTCTCTTAAAATCCAGAAATTAAAGAATAACTCGTTCCGATTGGAACGACCGGGTTGGTGTTAATCGATGCAATAATTTAATAAATACATAGTTTTCGTAATTTTTTTTCCGAAGAGGGGAAAACCGGGAGTAAATTTGGGAAGTGTATTTGCATTTTAAAGAATTAACCCACTAACAAGAGAGAGTAAGTAAGAGCAAGTAAAAGTAAGTCTACTGAACCGAAAAATATGATTCTAGTCGAGTTAATTTATTGAATAAAGTGAAAGTAGAATTTCAAATCGACAAACAACTTAATTACAAAGAGATAATTTATACTGAATTTAATCACAGTATAAACTTAAATGTATAATTATGCCTGAACTTATAACTAGGTAGATGTATTTCTCATATAAAGGGTGTTAATAAAGTCCGATCCCATTTTTCCTATAAAAAAGTGAAGGCTAGTATAAAAAAAACTACCCGTGATACTTACAAAAAATGTTCGACATATTTACCTTAGTATTTGGTCTTGTTACCATTTACTTTAACCATGCTCTCAACTCTTTGTTTAAGGCTCTGTGCTAATTTTTCCAATGTGTCTGTGGGAATCGAATTCCATACATCTTGAACTTTTTTTACTAGCTCTTCCCTCGTCCGGGGTTGTGGTTCTTTGTATACATTTTCCTTAAGTATGGACCACAGGTTCTCCAGGGGATTCAAATCTGGGCTGTTTCCGGGCCACACCCCCTTGCTCCAGACCGTTGAAACTTGCGTCTTGATGAGACTCAAACTCGCTTTTGCTGTATGGGCTGTAGCACCATCCTGCATGAAAACTATTTTTCTTTCATTCGGAAATATTTCCTTGTTCCCCATGCTATCGAAATAGATAGGTAATATTTTTTCCATATAATACTTTGCATTGACTGTTTGGCCTTTTGGTATGATATGTAGAGGAGTCACGCCACGTGCACAAAATCCACCCGCTACCATAACTTTAAGCCCGAATTTTGGGACTGCTCTTGATGGTACATCCGATTTGTTTTCTGTCCTGTAACGAACATTTTGTTGGTTCAATTTTGGATATAGCTCAATAATAGATTCGTCAGTCCAAAGGATGTGACTGCGCAATTCTTCACCAAGTCTTTTTTCACTCAAATGGCCACTTTTCTGAAGGAGTTCTCCAAATTTCAGACGGTCATCGATATTTTTTTGTGACATGAGAGGTTTTTTGGTTAGTTTGTAAGCTGTGTGACCCCACCTCGTAGATTTCACAAATTTTTGCACGGTCACATAGTTAATTTGCTTCTTCTTCTCTTTATAGCGTTTTGAGTCATTTAACTCCCTTGCACAATTACGTAATGAACTACCAGTTTTCTTGTAAAGTCTGTTTTTAATCATTCTCTTTGTGGTAGGTGACACCTTTCTGGGTCGCCCGGGTCGCTTTTTGTCGTGGACAAAATTTTTGTTCTTCCATTTCCAAACAGTTCTGCGGCTGCAGCCCAATTTTTGCACAATTTCTGCAGGTTTAAACCCCTGCTGATGCAATGTTTGTATCTTAACTCTAAGATGCTCATGACTTACACGTTTAGTTGTTCCTCCCATGGTAAAAATTTGAAATAAATAACTTCACTGGTTCAAAAGTTCCAGCTGAATTTGTAACAACCGCGCTCCAAAAAATTCATGGGATCGGACTTTATTAACACCCTTTAGTAACAGTACTTGTCGACACTATCTATTAAAACTGAATTACCTATGCTACTATGATGGAAATTCTGTCGCAAATGTTTGTCAAGCTAATTGTTAATATTCTATTTCA